AAAAAAAAAAAAAAAAAGGGAATTGTATTAGTCCAAAACCCACTAAAAAAATAACACATATAATATCTCTTCATGAGTCCGTGAGTATAGCTGAAGACTATATAACAAGAAGCAATGGCAGACGGGAGAAACCAGAGTAGTCCAAGAGACTCCCAAAATTACACAAGCCACAGTCCTTGATTGTCTCCTAGAACTTGATGATAGGACCCTATTGCTGAAGAAAAGCCATACTTTGGACACAGGATTTAGAGCAATGGAGCTGGAACTGACCTAGAAGCTACCTCCCCTGAAGGCAAGCTCTCGTAGGTTTGGAGAGCACTATGCAAGCTGCTAAGGGAGTACATCAATCGAAGGTCCAACCTCAGCTTCAAGGCCTAAAAATCACATTAGTAACCAGCACAGCAAATAACATTGGTGCAGTAGTGGCACTTTTATCTTGGGGGTAATCAACAACTGCCTAATTGGACTTAAGGCTCACTCAATGGAAGGAAACTCATGTGGTATTGTAAACATAGCCAAGTACACATAGCTGGAGAGATCATAGAGCTTAGAGAAAACTGTCACATCCCTAGACAAATGTTATTTCTTACTATGTGCATAATATGGATCCTTAAATTTCTAGACAAGTATCCCGGTCACCACCCATGGAAGAAGCTTCTTTTTCGAGAGACAGAGATAATTACAGAGTTCTACAACTGGTCACACAGATAATCTGTGAATTGCCCAAGTCTGAGTGGTACATCTAGGATGCAACCTCTACACCTAAGGCTCTTGGAACGTAGAACAAGAGATGAAGAGAACACTAATGCATCTTTCAACTCTCATCAATGCAGCTCCCTTATGCAACAGTGGGCCAGGAATGCAAAAGGTCACAAATAGCTGAAACACAGAAAATAAGAGTCTGCAGAGTGTGGGCCCTTGCGCAGGACTCCTATATTAAGGTCCACCCACCCAGGGCTCAGGGACCATTGCAGAATAGAGAGCCAGGGAGGAGGTGCAGGACCATACGGAAATAGTCCTACATGCACCCGGGACCCTTCTACAAACGTACAGCAATGGTGTCAGCATGCACAAGACCCATGCAAACTTAAGCAGACAAAAACCCAGCACAGAATTGTGGAAATGAACATCAGACCCCAATCTTAGTTAAAGAATTATTGGCAGCTGATTAGTGCTGGGCAAGGAAGGGATGGACTCTAGATGGGCTGACTAGACCCCAGTGGATGAACTTGTAATGAGGGACATCTGGGGTCACTAACTTTACATGATAGGCCTTAACACAAATGACATAATGTATGAACTCCAGTGGGGTGTTTGGGAGGGCGCCAAAGGGGAAAGGGGTACAAAGATGATTTTCTGCATGAAATACTCAAAAATTTAATATTTATTTTTTAAAAAGAGCCATTCTGCAACATCTAATTGTCTTTAAATGTGCATGGAATATTTTAATAATCTCTGTATTTATGATTTGTTGTTGCAGTTCTTTATACATGGAAAAATTGCAAATACCATTTCATGAATTGTCATGGGAGGGTGCTGTGCATTGAATCCAACATGTCACATATGCTGATCATGTACTCCATCTCTGGTCTACACCTCCGGCTCCCAAGAATTATTATTTTTTAACATTCATTGTTTTTATTTTTTTTATGTGTACTAGTGTATTGCCTGCATGTATGTAAGTGCACTCATGTGATACATTGCCTGTGGATGTCAAAAGATGATGTTAAATCTCCTGAAACTGTAGTTAGGGATGGTTGTTAGCTGCCATATGGGTGCTGGAAATAGAATCCAGGTTGTCTGCAAGAGCAGCTCTTGACCAGTGAGCCATCTCTAGCCCCCCAAGAATTGTTTTTAAAAATGTGAAAGTAACCGTATTAGGCAAGTTGTAGCATTTTGCAGTCATATTTTTCAATAGTTTATTGAGTACTGACTGCTTTTCAGGTACTATTTTCAGTGCTACAAATATAAAGTTTAATAGAATAAGGTCCCTGCCACCACCACTTATATTTCAGTGAAAAATGAAAGGACAGGGAGCAGATAAGAAGACATAAGGTGTGTTGTTTGGCAGTAAATTCTGCAGAGCTAAAGCAGAGATGATCATCCACCCAAAATTTACTGATGTCTTACACTTAACAGATATTTAAGCAAATTCAACCTGTTTAGTTTTCCTTCTTGAGTTTCTTTTTTGTCATATCTAAGCTTATTCATTGTGTACATTGATGTTTTCATAAATTCATGATAGGCTTTTTCCTTATTTCCTACAATTCGTGCTGTTACCAAAGTTGTTAGCGTCAAAGCCTAGGCCCTGGAAGCCTTAAAACCTAGGTTCAGACACCCATCCTCCCTAGGCCAAGTAAAGAGAAAAGTAATGATGAAAAACAGAGAAAGATTCATTGTAACCACACTGGAGGTGAACAACTGAAGAGGCCCAGGGCTGGGGGCATAGCTTAGTTGGTAGGGCGTTCTAGCATTCATGAAACCCTTGGTTCATACCCAGAACTGGATAAACCTGATATGGTGTCAGGCTCCTGTAATCCCAACAACCAGGAGATATAGGTGGGAGGATCAGGAATTAAAGGTTATCCTTGGCTACCAATCAAGCTCAAAGCCAGCCTGAAATACTTGAGACCGTGTCTGTATATAGATAGGTTCAGACACACACACACACACGCACTCACACTCACACTCCAAGTCCATTTACAGAATCCTGATAATGATTTAGGCAAGAGATATGTACAACTAAGCAATCCTGTTCAAGGTTTAGCCCTGCTCATTGCCTGTATTGACTCGGCTCCAGTCTCCTGCAAAGCGGTCTGACAAGTTGACATAACTTCTTTCTAGGAGACAGCTCCACCAGCCCACCCCGTGGGTACCAGGCTCCAGTCTTTCCCTTTTCCCAGCATGAGACCCCTATGGAAATTACACTTTCTAAATGTCCACTGTTTTCGTAGTTTGACAGATGAAAGGAGGGGCACAAGCGTCTCTTTAGAATTTCCACTGGGTGACTCCACTGCTAACTGCCACCCTTACTCCAGACTTGAAGGACTTCCTGTGTGCTGATGACTCTCAATCCGTATTCCAGCTTATACTTATCTTCTGAGTAATATCTGCCAATTGGACACTCACTTGAATGGCCTGCCAAGCCTAACTAAGACCTTATTCAAAGTATTCCTTTCAAACCTGTCCTTTAGTCTGAACTCCATCCACATCACCAATTACCAGCCAGCCAACTAAACCAGAACCTTACAGTTGTTTGTTTTGTTTTTTAATTTTTGTATTTCTTATGTTGCCCTAAAACTCCTGGGCTCAAGTGATACTCACCACAAGCAGTTGAGAAAGATCTTAAAATCTTTACTCTTAAAATATCCTGTCAACAGCCAAAATTATCTGACTTACCCATGAATCTATTTGAAATTCTGTTCTTCCTGATCCTTTTCACTACTCTTTTTTTTTTTTTTTTTTTTTTTTTTTTTTTTAAAAGGGTCTCTCTATAGCCCCAGCTGGTCTGGAACTCACTTTGTAGACCAGGCTGGCCTTGAATTCACAGAGATTCACGTGCCTGTACCCCCCCCCCAAGTGCTGGGACTTAAGGCGTGCGCCACCACACCCAGCTCTTTTCACTGCTCTTAACTTGAATAGCTCATCCTTTCTTACCTATATTGCCACAGAAGACATCAAGCTTTCCCATTGCCTTTAGTTTTGATCTCTCTTCACCCCAACCCCAAACCTGTCTTATTTAGTGCAGGTAAAGTCACGTGCCTGTACCCCCCCCCCAAGTGCTGGGACTTAAGGCGTGCGCCACCACACCCAGCTCTTTTCACTGCTCTTAACTTGAATAGCTCATCCTTTCTTACCTATATTGCCACAGAAGACATCAAGCTTTCCCATTGCCTTTAGTTTTGATCTCTCTTCACCCCAACCCCAAACCTGTCTTATTTAGTGCAGGTAAAGGAACCTTTCCCAAATGCAAACCCAATTATAATTTTACTGTTCACCATCATTTGTTTTCTTTAGATCCCAATATCCTAGCACAGCCTTCATGACAAGAGTTTGAGACTAGCTGAGTGTGGTGGTTTATACCTATACCTGACACATAGGAAGCTAAGGCAGGAAGATTGCTGTGAGTTTGAAGCCAGCCTGGGCTATATAGTGAGTTACAGTCTAGCCAGAGCTACATAATGAGACTGGTTTCTGTTATTGTTATAAAAAGAATTTGGGGTTCCTTTAGCCTTGTGTCCTCCACTCTACATCTGTCAGACCACCATAGCATATTTGTACTCATTGTTTTGTTCAGAGATATTGCTAAAACATCTTATTTCTTGACAAATGTGATATTCTGAACAGTAACTTTTAGGATGTCTGAAAGATCTCATTCTTTAATTACCAGATTAAGTACTATGACAATATAAATGTTTCTTTAATCTGAAAATTAGAAATCCAGAATGGTCCAAAGTCCAAATCTTTTGTGTGTGTGAGAGAGAGACAGATCTTACTGTGTAGCTTTGGCTGGCCTAGAACTCTATGTAGGCCAGGCTGACCTTGAACTCACAGAAGTCCATCTGCCTCCCAAATGCTGGAATTAAAGGAGTGTACCATCATGCCTGGTCCAAAGCTTTTGAGCACTAACAACACCACAAACAGAAAATTTCATTAACCTCATATGGCAGGGTACAGTCAGAATACAGAGGCACTAAAAATACTGTGTAAAATTACCTTCAGACTACATAAGGTGTGAATGACACAAATGAATTTTGTGATTAGACATGGGTCACCAAGCTTCTTTCTTTTGTATATACGAATATTCTAAAATTGGGGGGAAAAGGTCCCAAATCTGAACCACTTCTGGGCCCAAGTATTTCAGAAAGGATAATCAACTTGTATTTGTAGTTTTCTTACCTCTTTCTGCTTCCTGTTTCCCATAACACTAAGGAAGAATAGCATTGAAATATTACTATAATCACTTTATGATATAAATGACGTTTTTCTTTTTTTTTTAGAAACAACTCAAATTATTGGTATGAGTGCAACGCTAAGCAATGTTGAAGACCTACAAGAGTTCCTTAAAGCCGAGTATTACACCAGTCAGTTTAGACCAGTATGTATCTAAAGTTTGCACTATATTAGCTGTTATATATTCACCTTAGAAATGAGAGTCGTGGAACACAGTGTCTTTTAAAGCAGTGGAGGGGTAACGGTGCATAAACTCACCGTAGCTATATGCTAATACTTTGCGGTTAGAGAATGTCAGCTGTGGGGTCAGGGATCTCAACTTGAGTCAGTAATGTATTTATAGCACCTGGAACAATCTCTGGCCAGTGGGCCCTCAGTGAACATTTGTTGAATTAATTTTCCCAGAAATCTTTTATGTTTTCACTTCCTTTAAAAAAATTTTTTAAGATTTATTTTGATTTTATGTATATGAGTGTTTTGCCTGCATGTATGTAAGTGCATCACATGTGTATAATGCCTATGGAGGCCAGAAGAGGAGTCATGTTCCCTGGAACTGAAGTTTCAGGCAGTTAGGAGCATTGATTTGAGTGCTAGGAACTGAAGAACCAAATCCAGGTCCTCCGCAAGATCAGCCAGTGTTCTTTTTTTTTTTTAATTATTTTTATTTTATGTGTATGCGTGTATTGCCTGCATGTAGGTAAGTGCACCCGTGTCGTGCAATGCCCACAAAGGTCAGAAGAGGCTGTCAGATCCCCTGGGACCTGGGACTGAAGTTACGGACAGTTGTTAGCTGCTATGTGGGATTTGAACCCCGGTCTTCTGCAAGAACAACCAGTGTTCTCAACCGCTGAGCCATCTCTCCAGCCCCTGTTTTCACTTGTTAATCTCTAAAGTAAATTTTTTACTTGGCCAAAATTTAGTGAGACCTTAACCAGGCCTGATGATGTAGCTAGCCCTCAAGACGCTAAGCTAGAGGGTCTTAAGTTTTAGGCCAGTCAAGCTACATACTGAGTTTAAAACTATCCTGAACTACCAAACAATACCCTCTAGCAAGGAGAGAAACTTAAAATATTCTTAAGTGGCTGTACTTTGCTGTACTTTGGTAGTTACAGTAATTTTTTTTTTTTTTTTTTTTTTTTGGTCTTTTTGAGACAGGGTCTTCCTGTAGCCCCAGCTGGCCTGGAACTCACTATGTAAACCAGGCTGGCCTTGAACTCACAAAGATCTGCCTGCCTCTGCCTCCCAAGTGCTGGGATAATTAGAGTACTTTTTAAAGGAAGTTAAGCTTTAACATGGATTTAATATTTATTTTTATTTATTTTATTTCTTGGTCTTTGAGACAGAGTCTCTAAAATAGCTGAGGAAAACCTTGAATTTCTTATACCCTGTCATCACCTCTGTGTTGCTGGGATTACAGGCTAACATGGATTTAAATTTAAACTTAATTGTAGCATTCCCAAATGCTTGAGCAAAGTAAAAAAAGTTCAGTTCATAGTTATTTGAAGATAGCTTGTAATGAACATATACTGTCTGTCTGCAGTACTAGTGTTCATGTTCTGTGTCTAAGTTTTCAGAAAATAATTTTTGAAGGTCACTGAATTTTACTTTGAAATGCATTGTTGTTTACATTTGCTCCAAAAACATTTTCAAAAAAAAATATTTTCTAGCCTTAGTTGTCACAAAAGAATCTACTTTGAAAAAGAATCAACTTAAGAATCCACTTTTATTTGTTGGTTTGTTTTTGAGGTAGGGTCTCCCTGTAGCCCCTGTTGGCTTGAAATGCACTATGTTGACCAGGCTGGCTTTGAACTCACAGAGATCTGCCTACCTCTGCATCCAAAGTGCTAGGATTAAAGATGTATACCACCAAGCCTGGCAAGAATGCACTTTTAAAAACCAGTGAACTAGGGGCTGAAGAGGACCTGGGTTTGATCCCTAGAATCCACTTTAAAAAACCAAACGTGGTCACAAGTCTTATACTCTCAGGGTTGAGGAGGTAGAGACAGGAGACTCCCTGGGACTTGCTGGCTAGCCAGCCTGGCCTACTTGGGGAGCTTCCAGTCAATGAGAGACTGTGCCTCAAAAAACTAGAGGGATGGTACCTTAGGAACAACACCAAATTATCCTCTCCTCATGTATGTGTACCCTTACTAATACATGCACCCATACATGTGACCATACACACATCCACAAATAGTTAAGTTAGAAATAATATGGTGGTATTTAAATTTAAAACTGATGACTAACACAGAAAGTTATAGATCTTAAGAAATAATACAAATACTTAGCAAAAGAGAGAATGCAAACCCTATAACATATTCCTACTTCTTTTTTTTTCAAAGATTTATTAGTTTTTATTTCATTGTATGTGTGTATCTGAGTACATGCCATGTATATGCAGATGCCCATGGAGGCCAGAAGATGGTGTTAGCTCCAGAGGAGCTGGAGTTATAGACCATTTTGAGCTGCCTGATGTGGATACTAGGAACCAAACTTTGGCCCTTGGAAGAGCAGCAAGTGCCCTTAACTGCTGACCCACCTCTCCAGTACTTCATTCCTACTTCTTAAAATAAATGCAAAAATATCTGGCTTCCTTTTGGATACATGCTATTCAATTCAAAAGTATTTTTTTCAAAGATATAATCCCTATTTTTTTTATTTTTCCCTTTAAGGGACAAAGAAAGCAAAAGCAATGATAAGGCTAGAACTTTTAACTTGAGGCATCTTTTAGGTATTGTAGAAAAGCTAAGTTTTTGTATAAAATATATTTGTTATGTGAAAACATTTTATAAAATTTCAAACTACAAATTTGGTATTAATTGAATATTTCCTTTTAATTCAAGGTTGAATTAAAAGAATATCTGAAAATAAATGATACAATATATGAAGTAGACAGCAAAGCTGCAGATGGCTTGACTTTTTCACGGCTCATTAATTATAAGGTATGTTGAGAATCCCTAAATCCCAGGCTCCCATCCTTTGGACCTGGTGTCTGGAGCATTACAGAATAGTCACATGGGTCTGATTAGTTTAAATTTGGGGAAAAGTAGCTGGCACTTGATCAGTCTTGCATAGACAATAAACTGCTGATTGAATACAGCTAGTTTCTTGTTTGTTTTGTTTTCAGTGCTAGGGATCAAGCTAGGTCTTCATACACCGTGGGCAGACACTGTACCGCTGAGCTGCATCCCATCCCTAGTTTCCAGTTTTAGCATCAGATCATACAGTAGCCCTTTCTTTGATATATCTTTTTGAAGTTGGGGATTTTACAGTTGCTGTATGCAATACCATGTGAAAATCAGTGGAATGGAAGACTGCAGTCTCACTCCAAATGCTGAAAGACAGTACCACATGTGCACATGTCCCATTAGTGAGCTCTTGTGTTTAAGAATTAAAGTACTTTTTATTCAAATGACTACTAAATTTTGAGGAAGTACATATTTATTAAGTTGTTTGCACCTGACTAATTAACATAACTGTTAACTGTTTCTTAACTCTTGAACCAAGAAAATTTGTAGACCTGTCCAGTAGGTGTTCATTCATTGAGCAACAACAAAAGAGTAATGCATAGTCTGTAATCAATATGTTGGGGTGTAAAATGTCTACAATGTTAATGGTTTGTGACTTCCATGAAGGATATTTAATAAGGGAGGAGGGGACTTTTATCACAGTTTTAGAATTTTATGAGATATATTCTTCTAAATCTATATCTTAGGTTCAGTAAAGTAAAAGAACCAAGGTGACTTTAAATAACTATCCTTTTTTTCCCCATGTTCCTTGTGTTCTTCCTGCCTGCATAATGTTGTAAACATTGTAATTCACTGTTAAAAACTGTCTTATTTCTGAAAGTGTAACCTTTAGTGTTAGGGAGTCTGGTTAGTAATAGTAAAGCAAACGTGTTCTTATGCAGTTCTTCACCTGCTACTAGCCTCGTTCTGTCCTTTTCTCCCTGGCCTTTTTCTGCTTTGGTAGAGATGGGCACATAATAGAGTTATTAATAACTTGAACTGTTTTCACGTCTTTAATTCACTTATTTAATCCTTTTTGAGACTATGCTCAAAAAACAAATCTCTAACAAATAACCTAAGAAAAAAGTTTAGGATTTTAATGTTTGACATAAGTTTTGTTGTTTTAATAATGAGATCAAGGAGTTTAGAATTAGCGGTTGTTTTGTTATCTTTCACATACACTGGGGTAAATGGATGAGCTTTCATGCTTGCAAACTATTTGGTTCCTACATGTTGTTTTACAGTATTCTGATGCCCTGAAAAAAATGGACCCTGACCACTTGGTAGCATTGGTGACAGAAGTGATTCCCAGTTATTCCTGCCTAGTTTTTTGTCCCAGTAAGAAGAACTGTGAAAACGTAGCAGAAATGTTATGCAAATTTTTAAGCAAGTATGTTAATCTTTAAAAAATATTGTTCTATTTTTGTCATGAGTTACAGGCTGTATAGTATGTTCTGTATATTGAATAATCATTACTTACTTCTTACAGAGCATTACATTGTTGTACAAGATTCTGAAGGTGTTAACCTTGGCAAAAGTTTAGCCAAAATTCAGGTGTAAAGTAGAAAAATTCTAAACTTACATGCAAAGGAATGGCACCAATATGAGGCTTAGATTTGAAACCTTGGTTGACTGGTGAACCAGTGTTCAGGCTGCATTGTAGACAAATCAGGACCTCTGAGAACGGGATCCAGGTAGGTTCTACATACAGCCAAGTCGAGAACTACTAAGATGGTCACAGGACTGATCACTGTGAACTCTGTGAAGATGAGTTATATCTTCAGCTTAACCTTCTCTTTAATTAAAAACTGTTGTCTTTTTTTTTTTACTTCATACTTAACTTGTTTGGTCACTTAATTTCCTAAGTATTTAAGAAATGTCTTGGTTTAGATGTTTGTGCTGTTCTAACCTTAGCTCTGTCATGTCCACAGAGATAAGTGAGAAGTGGCTTTAAGTACTAATAGTTAGGTTTTTCAGCACCCGTTTGTTCCGCATATTGTTTTACTTTTTTTTTGGTCTTTTTGAGACAGGGTCTCCCTGCAGCCTCAGCTGGCCTTGAACTCACTATGTAGACCAGGCTGGCCTTGATCTCACAGAGATCTGCCTGTCTCTGCCCCCGAGTACTGGGATTAAAGGTATATGCCACCACGCGTGGCCGTTTTTTTCATTTCTGATACTTGTTCGGTCCTTTACCTAGGGCTGTATGGGAAGTCATAGACTATTAAGTTAGATTTTTATCTGGTTATCCTCTATATTCCCTTCCAATTCTCCTGCCATAGTTTGATCTAAAATAGGATTAAATTTATTGAACAGTACAAAGATACAAATGTTTGGGATAAGATCAAGAAGTTGCATTTCAGTAATTGATGGTCTGCCTTAACAATGATGGTTTTGATTATTTAAAAAAAAAAAAAAGCTAAGAAAATTAACTAACTAAGCTTTTCTGTAAAAATCACTAAATTTTTAGACTACTTTAAGGTGTTAAAATTATAGGTGCTAGTGTTTAAACATTGTTTTGCCATATAGTATGTACTTTTTTTTTTTTTTTTTTCTGTCTTTGAGACAGGGTCTCCCTGTAGCCCCAGCTGGCCTGGAACTCACTACATAGACTAGGCTGGCCTTGAACTCACAAAGATCCGCTTGCCTCTGCCTCCCCAGTGCCGGGACTAAAGGCATGTGCCACCACGCCAGGCTTAGTATGTACTCTTGACTAGAAAACTGCCTTAAAATAAAACAAACCATCTTCTGTATAGATATCTTTTATAAAGAAAACAATAACTAAAACATCTAGAGCAAGAATCTAAGCCCTGTGTGGATTCATAGGAAATGTAAGAACGAACTTCAAGAAGTCCAAGAACCTTCTGAAACTGTATGTACAGTGCTACGTTTATAGAATGGTTGTATTTTCGCTTAGCTTTAATCAGGTTTTCATAGGGTTCTGTGCGCCACTAAAAGATTGAGAATTTCTAATGGTTAATGAAGAATGAAAAGAACGTTTTATGGGGCTGGGGAGATGATTCAATTAGCAAAGTACTTACATGTATCCAACCATGAGGACCTGAGTTCAGATGCTCAGCATCAATGTGAAAAACCAGGCATGGTAGCATGCACTTGTAATCCCAGTGCTGGGGTGGCACAGACAGGGGGATCCCTGGGGCTCTAGCTAGCTAGCCTTGCCAAATCCATGAGCTCCAGGTTCCGTGAGAGACCCTGTCTCAAAAATTAAGGTAGAAAATGATGAGGAAGACATCTGACATCAACCTCTGGTCTCCACGTGCACATATGTGTACATCCCTGTACATAAATGACCACATACACACCATTAACACACACAGTTTCTGTACTTATATCAGTAAAAGTAATACATAATGTTTACAGGAGATATAATAAAAAATGAAAAGCACTTTGCCTATAAAATCAAGGGCTTATATTTTTAATGTCTCTTTTTCTAGAGACTGTCTAAAGCACAGAGAGAAAGAAAAACATGAAGTGATTAAGAACTTGAGGAACATCAGCAATGGCAACATGTGTCCTGTCTTGAAGCGCACCATCCCTTTCGGAGTTGCCTATCACCACAGTGGTTTAACAAGTGATGAAAGGAAGCTCCTGGAGGAGGCCTATTCCACCGGTGTTCTCTGCCTTTTCACCTGCACATCCACCCTGGCAGCGGGGGTCAACCTCCCAGCACGAAGGTAAGACTGAGGTTGTCTTTGTCTCTAGTGGCTAAGAATCAGTCAAATGCTTCTCAGCATTTGCTGGGTTAATTGCCTTTTTTTTTTTTTTGGCCTCAAACTCTGCCTCTGCCTCCCAAGTGCTAAGATTAAAGGCATGTACCACCAAGCTCAGCTAGGAATTCTCTTACTATACTTTCTTTCTTTTTTTTTGCTTTACTGTAGTAATTACATGTATTTCAAGACAGGTATATCAAAATATCACTCTATACATGTAAAATATATGTAATAACTATACTTTCTTTTTTAAAAGGTTTATTTTAATTTATTATTTTTATTTTATGTGTATGAGTGTATTGCCTGCGTGTATGTGAGTGCACCCATGTCATGCAATGCCGTGGAGGTCAGAAGATGGCTTCAGATTCCCCTGGAACTGGAGTTAAGGACAGTTCATAGCCGCCATGTGGGTACTGAGAATCAAACCTGGGTCCTCTGTAAGAGCAGTCAGTGCTCTTAACTGCTGAGCCATCTCTCCAGCCCCTATACTTTCTTTTTTTTAAAAAAAAAAAAAATATTTTATTTATTATTTTTTATGTGTATGAGTATGTTGCCTGCATGTATTTAAGTGCACCCAACTCATGAAAAGCTCACAGAGGTCAGAAAAAGGAGTTGGATCCCCTGAACTCCATTTGTGGACAGTTGTTAGCTACCATATAGGTGCTGGGAACTGAACCCAGGTCCTCTGCAAGAGCATCAGTGCTCTTAACCACCAAGCCATCTCTCCAGCCCCTTAATTGCATTTTCTTGTAACACTGTGCTCTCATACTGTGGATATGATTCCCTCCGGAATTTTCTATGATACTATTTACAGTTTTTCCAAATTCTCTGTTCCTGTTTTTATCTGTTTCGTCATTTTATTCTGTATGTTCTCATTACTTTTCTTTGGTTATTTTTTTCTTTAAGTGTCTTTGACAGTCTGTAGAGATTTATAAAGGAGTAGATTTATTAGTGTAGGCAAATGATAGCTTTTTACTGCCTTTGAACAGAAAAGCTGACTATAGACTTATACCTGTGAATGATTGAAATTGCCATTTTTGTAAATTAAAAACTGTTGAAATCATCACTGTCTTAAAATTAAAGGTAATATAAATTCCTAAATGTGTAGGCATGTATTAGTGGCACATGACCAGATCTTTGAGCTATAGAGTATAAATTCAAGAAACTTTGGAGACCACTATTATAGATCTGTCATAGCCCTTACAGCTATGTAGATTTTAGATTTGAGTTCAAATGACAATTCTAGCAATTACTGACTTTGTCCTTTAAGGTAAGCCACTTAACTGACCTTCAGCTAATTCTTTTATAATAAAATAGGAAAGGACATTACCAGGCATTTTGTAAGAATTATGATAATATACATAAGAACCTAGGACATCATAATTCTATTGTAAATGGAGTTAACCTGTCCTTATTTAGCATTAACATGTCCTTACATTTAATAGCACATATGTATAATGAAATGAAGAGAGTCAAAACTAGGTGTTGTTGATATAGATGGAGGATAACTTTTAATTTTATCCATTCCATAGAGTTATTTTAAGAGCTCCCTATGTTGCTCAAGAATTCTTAAAGAGGAATCAATATAAACAGATGATTGGCAGGGCTGGCCGTGCTGGAATAGATACTGTAGGGGAGAGTATCCTTATATTGCAAGAAAAGGACAAGGAACAGGTAAGACTTGGTCTGGTCAGATTTTTTTTTTGTTACTGCTCTTGCTTTTTTATTGTTTATTTTCTTTTTTTTTCCAGTTAATTATTTATATAATAACTGCATACTTAGAAGAAGCATTTCATTACAACAGCATTGACATATTCAATAACACTTTTCTGAGCTAAGATGCATCTTTTTCAAAATTGGCTGTAAATTTTTAGGTTTATGGTTGAATTATTACAGTTATACAATATTGTACTCAGTATAAACCCTGTAAGACATAAAATTAAATGAGGTTTTAACATTTAAAAGAGAATTCCATTTCATTATTAAAATACACAGTTTCATACATAATAATTCATTTTCAATGCAATTGACATTAAGAAATGCATGTGCATTTCTAATCTATGTATCTGATTATAACTAGTGACAGTCGGTTACTTTCTGAGCTCCTTGGCATCTAAGCATGGCTATAAAGTCATCAGGTAGATTTCAATGGTAATGTTTTTCACATCAACTAATCAACATAAATCAAATTTTATGCTTCTTCCTCAAATATAATTTATTTATTTGTTTATTTATTTTGGGTATTTCATACAGAACATCCCAAACATTCATCTTTGTACCTGCATCCCAAATGGCACCCTCCCATAGCCTCTCCCTGACGAGAGCCCATATACTCTGTCGTTCCTCTTACTGTCCAATGTGTTATCAGTGCCCCCAGCTGTTCCCCAATGCTAGTCCAACTGCTAAGTCCAGTCAACCTATCTAGAGTTCCTTGTTTTAGGACTATCAGCTCTTCTTCAGCTACCAGCAATCAGTTGCCAACATTCCTTTAAATAAGATTAGGGTCTGCTCTTCATTTTCCCAGTTCTATGCTGCATTACTGTCTGGGAGTCTTTTGGGTTACCTGGCCAAACACTCAAAGGAAGGCATTTCCTGTCTGGCATTGTTTTTTGTTATGTAGCCTTTAACTATACATATGGACTCTTAAAAATTATACTGATCACTTTAATCTTTGGTTATACTTTCCTTTTGGGTGTTTAAGACCGTAGAGTTGGCCCAGATTAACAAATTAATTTTTCTCTTAAGGTAAAATTATTTAAAAGTTTTTCTCTTAAGGA